GGTTATAAACATATGCGAATGTCGTAATTTCTATTTTTATTTTTGCAAATTGCGAATGACGGTAAAGAATGATCCATTTTATCTTTATTTGTCAAATTAAATTGAAATTATAAGTCAATTTATTTTCTTTTAATCCACTATTCGAATCGATAATGGGAGATTTCAAAGGTTGGAATGTTGGATAGTAGAGTAGGTAATTATTTAAGAGGATTCACTTAAATAGCACTAAAATATAATGACTTTTCTTAAATAGCACTATATGTGTTTTTCTTATCAATGTAGCACTTTTAGTCATTATACATTAGTCATTATTCAAGTAAATATTTGCTATCACTTGACATTATGGACATTATTAAATGCTATTTAGTGAATAAAACATTTTAAGTGCTATTTAGAGAAATGATTTAACTTTTAGTATTATTTATTGCAAATATTTCATTATTTAAATATATTTATATGTATTAGTTATTATTCTAGCATTATTATTATTATTTTATTTAATTAATCTATATTTTATATATTGGTGAGCAAACTTCTAAGCTCTTCCGAGACTAGAATTAGGGTTTCTATCTTTATCATATACCGGAGTATATAGATGTTATCCCTAGAAAAATCAATCAATAAACAAGCAAATCACAACTATTTTTCTTCTCCTCTCTCATTTCGCCATTTCCTTCTCGTCTTTGAGAATGCATGGTTCCAGCCGGTGTGTGATCTTTCTTCTACTTCACGTCTCAATTTATTAACTTCGAAGACGCTCGAAGTCTTCCCTATCTGATACACGTCCGTAGCATGTCCAACGTTCTTTTTCTTCTTTTTTTTAGAAAAATTGAAGAAAGAAATTGAAAGAAAAAAAAATAAAAGGCATCTTTCATCCACCCTTCCGCAACCAAAGAAGAAAAGTATACTTCCTCCCCCTTCGGGTCCTCCAAAAAGCAAGGGAAAAGAATTTTCATCCACCCTTCGGCAAAAGCAAAGTAGAAAATGTATCCTTAGCTTCCTCCCTCCTTCTGGTCTTCCTCAAAGCAATGGAAAAAAAGTAAGCTTCCTTTGGTGAATAAAATAGTGTTCTAATAATTTCGTGGTAGCACTCGCTAATTTATATCGTCATGATCTTTGTCGAATCGACGATGTAGAACCGACATAAAACAAACATCGATCCCTTAAAAATCTCTTGAAAAGAAACATATGTCGTTTGGAGGTTGGCAAATGAGACGAAGCAAAATGAAGGAGACCAATCAGTCTTCAATAAGTTTTAATTACCTACGTGGTCCTCTATAATTGAGATTTATTTTCAAACTAGTCCTTCATATATAATGTTACTCAAATTATAATTTATTGGGGGGTATTTTGGTTTTTTATCCGCTAAATTTAGAATGAGTTCTTGAAATAATCATTTATAATAAAGTACTTTCCTAAAGGAATTTTTTCTAATTAAAGATGTGTATTTGATTCAAAATTTAAAATATTTTTTTATAAAATTTTAATAATTCATGAATTGTTTATAGTCAATGTATTTTTTTAATTTTGCATTTAATTATACAAAAATGACCATATCGAGAATATACTTTAAATTTAGATGATAAAAATACCAACATACTTTCCAATTAATGATTATTTAAGTAACATTATTTACAAAGAATTATCTAGGGAATAAATCTCAACTATAGAGAACTATGTAGGTAATTTAAACTTATTGAGGACTGAATTAGGAAAATACCTTATTACAAAGGACCATTTTGAGAATTTATTCTTTAAAAAAATTGCATTATAGATTAATTATATATATAATAATAATATTTTTGAAAATATTATACAAAACAGATCTAATAATATTGTTCTTATATCAATATTTAATACGGAGTATAAATTTTAATTTATTTAATTAATCGTTAGTGTTGATCAATTTTAACGGTAAGAAAAATTAAAACTGGATAAATACTTCGGGACGAAGCTCGTATGAGCTTGTCTCGAACAAGTTTTTTTAATTTTTTAAATTAATGTTAAATATTTTAGATAATTCTTTAATGGTAGTGGTCAGCTTTGAAAAATTTAAAGCTAAACATTATATTGCCCTTAGATAACTTTTCAAAATGTTAAAAATAACTGTATGTGATTAAACATTAAACTGTTGTAGTCACGGGAAAGTGATTAGTTGTGAAAACAATTTTGTTATGGTCCCGTTTGGTATACGAAATTCGAATTATGAAATTTGAATTGAGGATTTCAATTCCAATTCCGAGGTTTTGGCAGCACAAAAATTATGTGAATTTAAAATTGGTAGTGCAAAAAATGAATTAAAATTGATGAATTCAATTCTATGGAATTGAATTAGGGGTAGGTTCGGTTTTGACGATTCGGTTTTTACCCAAAACCAAAGACAAAACGGAAGGTAAGTTGGCGGTTCGGTTCGGTTTTGTATAAAAAATATGTAAACCGTTGGTTATTTGGTTCGGTTTTATGCGGTTTTTATCTTGGTTTTTTCGGTTTTTTCGGTTTATAAAAGTAAATATTTATAAGCATTAGAAATTGTATAAATACTAACTCGACGAAGCAATAACGATACATAAGTTTGGGTTTGGTTTTTTTGCTTGATCTTTACACACAAAAAAAGTCGAGCGGAAGGTTAGTGTTCTCATTGGTTCAATTTTATATACAAAATATGTGTCAAGTGCCTAACAAACATCTAGAAGATTCTAAATAATCTTAAAGATATCATATATAAAATCAATTGCAGAGAATTTGGATTTTTTATATAATACTTTCATTTTCATTATAATATCAAAGTTTTCTTATTTAAATATGTTAAATTGTTAACTACTCATTTTAATTTTTAATGTTATATAATTCTATATTAGGATTAGTTATTGGTGTTTATATTCTTAGATTTTGTAAAGTTTATAATATGGTTAAAATGTTTAATTAATACGGAGTAGTTAAGAAAAAAATTTTAATTGACTAGTAATTTATTTGCATTTTTGTTTATATGATTTTTATACATATCACATATACTCATATAAATAAAATGAAGCATATAAATAAGTTTGGTTTATTCGGTTCGGTTTTTCAAAGTAAAAACCAAAACGGAACCAAACAATAACGGTTCGGTTCGGTTTTTTTTCTAGCTCGTTTCAATCGATTTCGGTTCGGTTTTCGGTTTTCCCGACCCAGCCCTAAATTGAATCCCATGAAATTTTAATTTCAATTCATATCTAATTCCATCAATTCCGTATATCAAACGGACCCTATGAGTAATTTTTAATTTAGTTAAATGAGTTACTTTGGGTTTAACTTCAACTTCTCTCACTCCATGTCCATTTGGCAAAAGTTTTTAGTGTTTTAAAAAAGTTGTGTAATGACAATATTTAATTTTAATTAATATTTCCAAAATTAATCTACATCGTTAAAAAAGTATCCAAAAATTAAGAAAGCAGCTTCCGAATGTGTATTACAGCTAATTCAAAGACCTCTTGGAAGTGCCATGCTCCATTTGGTACACGAAGTTCAAGCTATAGAATTGAAATTGAAGACAACAATTCAAATTCTGTTATTTGGTAACACAAAAATACGTGGATTTGGAATTGATAGTTCCAAAAATGAATTAGAATTGGAAAATTTAATTGCGTCCAAATCATTCAATATAATTTCAACTCACAATTCTATTCTAATTCTATTAATTTCATGTACAAAAAGGACCTTTATTTATTTCATCTTTCTTGACTAAGAAAATGGAGCACCTATAAGAGAATCTTTAACTTTATGACTTGTGGTGTATGGCTGAAGTTAAAAAGCCTACGATACATTATTCCATACTTTATTTTGGAAGCGATGCGATTTTTCAACTCAGAGATTCCCCTACAAAACAAGCATACAAAATTCCATACAAAATTCTAAATTATAGGGGAAAAAATGAAGATGAATTAAACCAACCAAGTTTACCCTCATGGTGATTTTATCCTTTTCCTTGTTTTCCATAGGGTGTGCTTTTAGGTTTTAACATTGACTTAAAATTTAAACAAACTCCCTCTATGAAAATAATAAAATACTCCCTCCGTCCTTAAATATTTGCCACACTTGTATTCCCGAAGTAAAATATCAAATTTTTTCATTCATTTTATTTACATATTGGTATAGAAATAAAAAATAAAATTTACATATCAAAATACTAAATGAAAAATTCTTCGAAATAAGAGGCATCGAGAATATTTTATTTTATCAAATAACCAATGAAAACGTAGAAATAAACAAAAGTTCCCGCGACTGCTGAGAAAGCAAACGTTGCAAATAATTTGGGACGGAGGGAGTAAGAGATAGGGGTGAGAATGATACGATATTTAGCCCCAACCGATGTCGTACAAAATATTTCAGTTCAGTATCAAATTTTACGTCGTACCAAAATTTCGATTCGAGATAGTTCGTCATCGGTTTCAAAATTTCGTACCAAAACATACATACATAATTTAAACTTTATAAATCGAAAGTATATTTAAACCAAAAAATGTAAAACACAAAAAATGAAAAATTAAATGCAAAAATGCTTATCAAACTTAATTTATATCTCACAAACTACAGCGAACAGATGATAACAAAGTTATATTTCAAATGAGTGTTACTATTTTTAAATTCTTCTACAAAAATTGAAACTCAAATAAAAGTACAATGTACACATAATAAAAATTTGAACTAAATTTTAAAAATAAACTTATTAGTCAATGAAAAAATATTATTATATTTATAATATATTAGTGTGTGTGTGTGTATATATATATGATGCACGAGGTTAAACAAAATTTAGTAAAATTAAGGAATTTTTCTTCTACTTTTCTAATGCTCTTTTTTTAATTGTAATATTTAGGATCTTCTTGTTTGGGGAAAAAAATACGAGTATTTTTCTAGAAAATTCTAATTCTATTTTCCTATGATTTGTTAGTAAAATTTGAGCTAAATTTTAAAAATAAACTTATTAGTCAATGATAAAATTTGAGCTAAGTTTTAAAAAGCTCGAAAAGGTGATATTATTTGAGATAATTTTTCTTTTTATTTATACTATTTTTATTTTTTTAATATATTTTTAAAATTTAATGAAAGCCAAATTGAATTTTTTTGGGATTGGGAGAGTAAAATGAAATGCAAAATTATTTTTTAGTTTTCAATCAATATTACAGGTTAATTATGATAAAATAAAATACCCGTAGCTCGATTGATCACTGCGATCACAGTGATGGCGGGGCTGCTTGCTTGGGCAGCAGACGTGGTCGGAAAGGGCGGAAACATCACCGGGGACGACGATCCGAATTTCATCCCTCTGATTTTGACCGCCGAACAGCAGGCCTACGTCCAAGAGTTGAATCGCAAAGCCGCTTCTCTCAGCGGCGAGATCCAAGATCTACGCCTCCGCCTTCCGCCGCCGGACATCTCCCAACGCCTTCCCGATCTCCATGCCCACTCCCTCGCATCCTACGCCGACCTTGCTCTTCAGCTCAATTCCCACTCCGCCACCAAAGAACAGGTTTTCTATCTCGTTGCTCACTCACCTGATTTTCTGTTTGTTTTGCCCTCTTCTCGTATCCATTTTATCGATCTATATGTGTGTGTGTGTGTGTGTTTTCTCTATATAATCCACTCTTGTAATGGCTAATGATTGATTTAACATTGAGGATATTTATGAATTCATATGTAGCTGCCTTATATTTAGACAAATCACTGCTTTTATTTCTGATTCTATAGTTCAGTGTTGCTTTTGTTCTTATGGCAGTCACAACTAAGAGAAGTTACATTGCTGGAAGAAAATGCTGAATATGAGAAGGCCATATCGAATTGTAGAAACAAAATTGAAGAGAAGCAGCGGGAAGCTGATAAACTTCAAATTAAGTTAAAGGTTAGAGACAAGTTTCATTCTGAAAAGATTTGATGAAGAGGGAAAGGGTGGGATATGAATGTTGCATCTTGGAAATTGTATGTAGATCATGGAGTATTTTCATACAATTTGTCCTACACTATGTTTGGTTTTAGAAATTTGGGAGGAAAAAATGGTTCTCTCATTTTTCTCGTCAAAATGGGAGAAATTTGGTTTTCCATCCTATTAGTACATTTTGCCTTCTCAATTTCTTTTCCTCTCTTACCAAACACGGAAAACTTTTTTCCATCTTATTTTCTTTTCTTTTCCCTTTCAAATTCATTGAACCAAACATAGCGTTAAGGAATTCCATTAGTGATAAATTTAATGAAGTAAAGCTCATTCCACTTCATTGATATACAATGGAATATATTGAAGAAGCTATAGAAGGACATTAGGTAAAATGGTAACCTATAGCTAAAGATGGAAAGCAAAAAAGAAATTATATGCAATTCAAGGCTAATTACATGAAGACTGCTTCTTTGGTGCACCTTGGGTGCATATCATTTTTGTGGATCTTCTCACATAAAAAACCTTTTTTTCTTTTTTTAAGTAAAAAAACAGATGCTTATTTTAGTAATAAGGAAATGCTTATTTTGCTCATATATAGGTCCATGGTGGACAAAAAATTATTTGATTAACTATTTACGATTTATATGTCTCTCTACTTTCGAGTTGAGTAAGGTCTGCGTACAATCATGTGATTCTACTGTGTTTGTTGTTGTTGTAGAGAACCAACACATATCACCCACCACACTCCTAGGATATGTCTAGGAGAGTGCTAGAGGAGTTGAAGGAAAAAAGGATGGAATGGCTATTATTTTCATTCTTTATTTTTCAAAATAGATGTAAAACGACAACTACCTTAAATTCTATTAGAATGTCCTAATAAAAGATTAATGGCCATAAACAATATATAATTCTCTTAATTTAAAAACTAAAAATTTATCATTCCTTTCCTTCCCTTCCAAAGTACCCCTCCCAAACATTCCCTGATGGTCCAAGGCTCTGATTACTACTCTCCTCCCCATGGTCTATGTCATTACGAGTACTATTTTACAGCCGTCTGACCGAGTGACGTGTACTCCACACTTTTTACTTTCTGGTAAATTTTTGTCGATGCAAAGTGACATGCACTCTTCTACATTGCTCTAAAGGAAATGGATTTGGCAGAAGAAAACTTGAAATTGGAATTAGAAAGTGTGCAAGCTGCATTGGAGAGCCATTCCATAGAAACAAATGAAACTGTAACAAACTCTACTGCACAAGATGGTACAGAATCTTCTAGTTCCATGACATTGGAGAAATTAGAGATCAAGAAAAAGGAACTGGTAGGAAACTTATCTGCATCCACCTTATGAGTATCACTATCAATTGTTCATTTCATTTAGTTTGATAAGCTTATCTTGATTGCTAGGCATCAATGGAAAAACACATTCAAGAGCTTGAGAGAGAATGGGCACAAGTTCAGGATAATGCATTGAAACAACCTTCTGCAGGTACTTCAGCACAAACATTACTTATCATCTCCTCTTCTGTTTGGTTTAAGTTTCAGGTTATCTCTGGATCATATAAAATGCTACGGAAAAGGGGGAACCTTCCAAGGGTAATTGTTTTCATTTTAGTTTTACAACTGAAAATGCAAAAGAACACAATATGATCTTTTTTTCTTTTTAAATTTCAAATATGTTTAAATTTCTTACTCATTATATACTCTCTCAATAAACCTTACATATATTTGAACTTCACATCTGGCCCAAAGTAATCTCTGATTCCCTTAGGAAATGAATATGTAACTCACTACGCTTCTCACTTTTTCTAAACAAATTCCAATCACATTTTTTACACTTATGAGTGCTTCTTTAGTTAACTGTGTGCCCAGTCAAACCGGGCACTAAATTAGGGATGAATGGAGTAATATATTTCAATAAATAGAGTATCTACAAATATCCAAAATAAATAAATTTGAGTTTTAGCCCTTCACCCCGCCACATTTAAAACCCTTCTAATTATCCTCTATGTTTTCTTGTCTAATTTTTTCCCTAGTATTTTTCAGCTCAGCGTGAGAAAATACTGGACAAACAGCTTCACAGCCTGATTGAACAGCTTGCTTTCAAACAGGTAAATCTCTTCTTTCATAGCTCATCTTAAAGATCAGTTTACCCATCTCTACTGCCAAACAGGTAAATGTGTTACTTCACAGTTCAATTTTCTTTCCTGCTTATAGGCCCAAGCAGAAGGCATAGTCAATGAGATTCATATACAAGAGATGAAGTTAGAGAGATTGAATGGCCTTCAGAAGAGGTCTGTAAGCAGCAACTCAGATATGATAAGTGCAAGGAGCAGGTATGGAAGAAGCAGCTTTGACAAGGGACTCATGTCAGATTACATTGTTGACCCTCGTCAGAAGCCGATGATGCATCAGGAGGCTGGCCGAACTGAGGGCATTCCGAAGCAAATTCTGCTCAGGTCAGCTTTTATAATCTATATTTTCGCTCTACATATCTTGGTGTTCATCAAAATTTCAATTTAAACATCAAAGCTCATCCATGAGTCAAACAGACCAAATGGATTAGTCATGAATTGGCTGTTTATGAGCTTGTAATCTCTGGTACATAAATTTTATTAACATTATACAGTTCGAAATAGTTTGAGAACACGAATAATTAGATACTGGAGTTTTCTCTTTTTCTGACTTCACTCAAAATGTAACTAAAATAGAGTTTCGATGGAGAAGAATGAAAAAGATTATATTACTGATTCATCTCTATTGTCAATCCCCGATTTCCTTTGTCGTTAACTTCAGAAAGAAATCACTTCCATGTATTGATTGGCCTGTGCAAACACCAATCCACTGCACAGTTCTTATGACAAGAACCGATTCAACCAAAAGTTCAAGCTTGTGGTTGTTTTACTGGCCCAGTATACTCTAACATGTGACACATGATAGCGTTTGGATTGGGCCAATGATCATAGTTATTTATCTTTGGACTAAAACTGATCATAAGCTGTTTGCATGCATTATGTGCATGGCAAGCCAAAAACAAGTTTCAGAAAATGAAATTTTCATGCCCATAAATAGAAACGGTAAATAAAAGATATGTTGGAAAATGTGCTTCGTTGATGATCATATGTCACTTATATGGTGAAACTGTGTAATTTTCAAAGAAAAAATAATACTCAGGTATAAACTAAAGCAAATGTAATACTTGTACATATACTTTGCAGTAATTAAAATAGTAGATTTACATTTACATACGGAGTATATTAGTATTTCTGAACAAAATGTAGTTAGTACGGAGTATTTATTATTGGGGGACGGTTTCCATCAGTAATGTCATAGGAACCCCACTGTTATTATTGTTCTTATTCTTCCTTTAACTATCGATTACAAATCCATACATTCCATTGTAATTTAAAATACAAGAATATGAATTTTAAATTGAAATTCAAGAATTCAAATGAATTTCTAGTTTTAAAATAGCATATTAATTGAAATAAGAGTTTGAAATAAGATGTTAATCCAAGGATTAACTCATGAATTACCCTAACTAGTACTCCATATGTCCCCTAATGAAATTTACTTTTTTCTTTTTCGTCCACATAAAATAAAGAGTAAATTCTATGAAAGGCCCTTGGTTATAGATCGTTTTCCATATTTAGTCTCTACATATCAAATATTAATAATTTAGTTCCCAATTATTATATTATTTTCTACCAATGCTCCTCTGTAAACATTCCCGTTAAGATATTAATACATGGATAAAATTGTAAATTCACACTCTTCTCTCCTCAATTAAGTTTCTTCCCTCCTTTCCTACTCCTTCGCAAACACGTCGCTGAGTTTGAAGCTCTGAACCCAAAATTGAAACTATCACTCCTCTCTCAATTGTTCGTCTTCCTAGTGGAACCTAAAATCGAAATCAGTAACTTTCACGGATGAGTTTCCAGATTTATTTTCTTTGCAACTTTCCGAGACAAACCTATGAAACTCATCCATGAAGATTACTAGTTTCAATTTTGGGGTTCCACGAGGAAGACGAACAATTGGGAGAAGAGTGATTGTTTTGGTTTTGGATTCAGAACTTCAAACTCAACGACGGGTTTGCGAAGGAGTACGAGAGGAGAGAGAAAGCTTAATTGAGGAGAGAGAAGTGTGAATTTACAATTTCATCCCTGTCTTAATGTCTTAACGAGAATGTTAACGGAGAACCATTCGTGGAAAACAATATAATAATTGGGAACTAAATTATTGATATGTGAGAACTAAATATAAAAAATGACATATAATTGGAGATCTTTTATGAAATTTACTCTAAAATAAACTTTAAGCTTCTCTTATTTCTTCTTAAGGAAAAACGAAATATGACTCATAATTTTTTTCTTTTGAACAATAAACATAGAGCATGAACAGAGCATACAAAGGCTGGTATATATATCTTTGTATCTCCATCTTTTATGTATGAATGTATGATAGCACTTTGTATATGAAGATAAAATGAAGTGTCCTAGACTTCTCCACGGAGTGGATAATTGGAAATAAACTGGGCCTCAAGTAATTGAGCCCAATAGGCCTGCTCAGCCTCGTTCGTCGGAAACTAGGCTCGGTCAAAAGACCTAAAGATTTATTTTCCTCATTACTTTCCTTACTTATTTTTTATGTTCATTTAATAAAATAATATTATCATACCACCTTTTGTTGTATATAATTTTCAATATAGTTTTTTTAAATAAATAAATTTTATTTTTACATTCCACATCAATTTTCATAAAAAATGAATTAAAAATAATGTCAATCAATCGGAGTCTAAGAGATGAAGGGGATGTGCAAGCATTAGCAAATCTCCCCATCCCCTTCAACCAACTTATACTCCAAGCAAAATGGCACGGTGCCCCTGCAATGTGATAGCAAGAACCGAACCGGTCTGGAACCGGTTCCGGAATTGGATCGGAGTTCGGCAAGAGAGCAATCCGCCACGCTTGCTTGCATCGCTTTCGTAGAAGTACAAAGTCCGTCAAGTTGTACAATTTATGTTCCCCTACATTGACTTATTAAATAAATCAATTCTTCTACTTAATAAATCAACTTTGAAAATTAATTTCTCATTCACTCGTTTATCACTTTATCACATACTACGTAATATAGAGAGTATCAAAATGTTCATCTCACGTAGGAGAAATCCGTCCATCAAAACTAAACTCTTTATAGACTATGGATAAAATTGAGCCCGACTCTTAAATGGCTATTTATACCAAAATTCCCACACTTCTCTCCAAAATTTAACAAATGGGCGTACTTTCATAGTTTTCAATGCATTTTTTAACTGCATTAATTTAAAAATGAATTGCACGACTAAATGAAACTGGGTAATTCACGTAAATGGAACATAAACATATCATTTTTTCTAAATAGGACTGGTCTTATCTACTAGAATACTCTCACCGTCCCACAAAATCTTTCTTCTTTCTTTTTTCATCCGTCTCAAAAAATCTTTCTCATTTTTATTAAAAAATCATTATTACTCTTACTAATTTTTAATCAACCTATCACATCACATTTTGTACTATTAATATATTCATCTCATCTTACTTTTACTCACTACATCTAAGGGCATTATTAGAAATGCAACACCAAAATACACCCCCCTTAAATTCTTTAAAAATAAAAAAACCAGAAAGCTTTTTTGGGACGGAGAGAGTATTTGACAATGAAAAGTTCTAAAATGTTATGCCTTTGAGAAAAATGACCTATTACACAATTCAAGTAGAATAAGATATTATTAAAAACAATTTGAATAGTCATTGAAATAATCAGTCACTATCCAACACTTGTTGCTAATGACCACATTCATAGACTCATTCATATAATCAATATCATGTGAAATTTGCACTAAATAGGATTAAAACATAATGACTTTCCTAACGTAAGACTTAAACTTTTTTATTCTCTAAATAGGACTTAATAATGACCTAGTAGAAGGAATAGTGTCCAGTAATTATGGACATTTAGTTGAATAATGACTACTTGATAATGACCAAAGGTCCTACATTGGGAAATAAAAACATATGATCTTATATTGGAAAAGTCATTATGTTTTAGTCGTATTTAGGTAAATTTCTCATCAATCATTATCCGATACTTGTTGGTATTCAAGGCATATATGACTATTCATATGAAATTATATGTCATAAACAAAATAAAACATACTTGATCATATTCAAGGAAATGTATTATCTTTTAGTCTTATATGGAGCAAATTTTTCATAAGACTAATTATATTACTCCCTCTGTCCTAAAATGTTCTTCTCAGTTACTTTTCACACTGTCAAACTTTAATCACTTTCTTTACCTATTTTCATTAGTTATTTGATAAAATAATATAGACTTGTCACTACTTGTTTTGTAGAACTTTTGATGTAGTTTTTAAATATATAAATTTTATTTTTTGATTTTGCACCTACAATCAAATAAATTGAATTGAAAATAAAGTCCATCAAACATCATATCATAAACATAAACGAGAAGAACATTATAGGACGGAGGGAGTATTGAACTTGGAATATATTAGTAAAAACAAATACGGAGAGACAATGGTGAGAAAATTAAGAATATTTCTGGAATAATGAGTAATAATTTTATTTGAGATGTGATCCAATAAATAAAAAATCACAACCCATTTTATGAGAGTGAAATTTATTCTAACTTGAGGAGATCTATGGCACTATATATATATATATATATATATATATATATATATATATATATATATTCTAGGAAAAAAAGAATGAAATAATACTTAAAGACAAAAAAAAGGGTAAAGATTGATTATTAAAGTAAAATATAAATATGCCATCACCAAATTTATATAATATATATATAAATTCACTTGTTCATTCCCATGGCATTTTTCATCCCATCTGCAGCTCCTTGTGCTTTAGCAGCCATCTGCTGGCCAGTCTGCATTTAAATAATCAATTATAATTAATTATATTACTCATATATATGGATTATTTATTAAAGTATAGGGACTAAATTCTTTAATAAGTATTGAGTTAACGGCTGGGGGCCGATCCGGAAATGTGAAAAAATAAGATTGGCTCTGTGGGTCCTATATTGCTTTTTATGGAATACTTTTATTTTAAAATTAATGCTAAATTTCATTTCTAGTAACAATTTTTGTATTACTTTAACTATTAAAATATAAAATTAATATATAATACATTTAGAAAATTAATAACCCAATTCCCAACTACGATCCCAAATAAACCCTATAAGTGAGAAATTAAAATAGCTAATCTGGAAAAAATGATACTTTTAATATTAATAAAATAAAAAAAAGAAATGAACATAACTATTTTCAAAATAATGATGATGATGATAATAATAATAATAATAATAATAATAATAATAATAATAATAATAATAATAATAAACTAGGGAGTAAATAATTAATTAATGACCTCTTGCATGGATTGCTTTGCAGATTGAGCAGTATCCTTAGCTTTGTCGATCATCTGGTTGCTCTTCTCCTGCATTTGGCCCTTGGCCTCACCTGCATGGTAACTTGCTTTCTGTGAATTATCCATCTTCGATTCTATTTTTTAATAGTAATATTTAGTTTTTATAATTTGTTGCTTATAATATTAATCTTTATTATTCCGTACTAATTATTTGGTCAGGTAGGGTACTTATATATATGCATATATGCATGCATGCATGAAATGGTCCATTACATGTTAATTTGTGGATGTACGCAATCCTCTCTTTTACCACCCTTCACCGCGAGAATCAGTCTTCGATTCTTTTTTTTTTCTTTTTTTTTTTTTGAAATGAAAAGAGATGAAATATTTGCACTAAATAGCACTAAAATTTAAGTCATTTTCCTAAATAGCACTTAAACAGTTTTATTCTCTAAATAGCATTTAATAATGTCCATAATGTCCAGTGATGACAAATATTTACTTGAATAATGACTAATGCATAATGACTAAAAGTGCTACATTGGGAAGAAAACACATGTGGTGCTATTCAGGGAAAGTCATTATGTTTTAGTGCTATTTAAGTAAATTGCTCAAAAGAGATTTATATTAATAATAAAAAAACTTGTGGTTTAAAGGGAGGACATAAAACCGAAACCATTCAAAACCGAAACCGAACGAACAATAATGATTCAGTTTGATTTTTCACGTTCGCTTTTGGTTTTTTAATTTTCCCCAATTCTTTTATAGACCAATTTCGATTTGGTTCGTAGTTTTCAAGTTTCCGAACCCACCCACCCAACCGCATTGTCCTTCTTCAAATGTGGTGAAATTTTTACTCTCTAAGTTTTTAAAAACGATTTTTATTTTGACTTTTGGCAGATTTATTTTTATAATTTTGACTTTCCAATTATATTACTCCGATCCCTCCGTCCTAGAATGATCTTCTTGGTTCGGTTTATGAGGTTTGACTGAAATTATTTTCAATTCAATTTATTTGATTATAGGTGCGAAATTAAAAAATAAAAATTATATATTTTAAAACTACCATCAAAAGTTCGACAAAACAAGAGGTAACATGACTATATTATTTTATCAAATAACTAACGAAAATAAACAAAGAAAGTGGTTAAAGATTGATCATGTAAATAGTGACAGTGAAGATCATTTTAGGACAGAGGGAGTATTTCCTTAGCGTTGAAGAAAAAAAGAGGAAAAAAATCTCTTAAATAACTTAGGTCATTGTATCAATGCAAAATAAATGGAGTACATTGCAGTAACTTTATTTGGATGTACCCTCTCCGTCTCTAAAAAAATTCATGCTTCACTTTTTGTGCGTCCCTAAAATACACTTTTATACATATCTATATTGTCCAAGATTCGTCATATTTCTCCTTTATTATGGGCAGAAGTTATTTTGGGATATTTGAGATATTTTAGATGGGCAGGAGTGTTTTTTGGGATGCGCGAAAAATAAAACAGATTTTTGTAGAGACTGATGGAGTATGATATTAGTCATTTTACTCAAAAATGGATGTGTTATGTAGAAAGTGAAAACACTGAAAAAAGAAGGGTTATAAAGGGAAGGAGTATTTTTCTTTTTCTTAATTATTACGGAGTATATCCAAACAAGAGTTATTTTCGAGTCTCTTTGGTTGGGAGAGAATATTTTTCCAAAATGTTATTTTCAAGGAGAAGCAATTTTTAAGTATAATTATTTTTTCCCTACCTTTTTCGTTATTTAATATGTTAGGATTTTTTATTTTCCCTCTAATCACCTGCCGGAAGTATTTGAAAAAAAGGATGAGCCTCATTACCGAGGGTCTCTTCAAAATAGGTCGAAGTCGAACAGTCCCATCCCATTCGCTTCCCCTGTCCAATCAAGTCAATATTCAACAAAGCTTCGGCATGGCGTCTCCAGTCTACCAAAAACATTGATGGACGTACATCTTTGGTTTACAAAAGATTTAAGGCAATGCTAGGGGTACACCAACATGGGGTATCCCACTTATACACCAGACTAACACAAACACATACAGACACAAAATGTTGGGATAAACGCACGTGGAAACAACACAAAATCACGAATCAACTGCAGAAAAATAAACGATACAGGATTTAACGTAGTTCGGCCGCCAACTGCAACCTACGTCCACACGGGGCAACTAGGAGGATTTTATTATTTGTTGTTGCACCACAATTACAAGCACATTAGCATCTCTTAAATAGAGATTAGTTAGGGAGACAATGATTAAGCCGTAAGCTTCTAGGTAGCTTCCTGTCAATTTCCTATTAGCTTCCACCTAGCTTCCTGGCTTCACACTCAACAATCTCCCACTTGAAGCCACGGAACAATGTTCACCTGCGCTTCAACTGTGCACATGTACTTCTGTAATCTGATAACGGAACTCAAAATTCCACCACCTCTAGTTTGTTGGGCTTTGTGGAGGCTTGTTTGTCGACCCGGCCCAGTTGTGCGTAGCCCTAGTTTTTCCCCTATATATAGAGGGCTTGTTCTTGTAATCTGTACCACAAGTGAAATAAGAAAATCCTCCTGTTGCAGCCGTGGATTAGGGAAACCGAACCACGTTAAATTTTTGTGTGTCGTTTGTGTTCCGTTTCTCTCGTTTCTCGCAGATTATTTGTGTGTGTTGTGTGTTTAATTCCCAACAAGTGGTATCGGAGCCTGGTGCGTTCAACACGAGCACAAATTGCCAGAAAATTTGTCACCTAGGGTTTTTGGGATCTGGGTGTACTACGCATCTGAGAAGGAGCCGCTGCCGCCGTCAGCCGCTGATCCGTCCAGGTGCCGCCGCAGAGGAGTCGTCACTCAACCGGCCGTCGCTGAAGGAGAAGTGCGCCTGTCGAGCGAGACCGCCGCCGCCGCCGCCGAGAGGATCTGTCGCTGTCGTGGAGGAATTGCCGCCGCGTCACCATCTCGATCGCTACCTCCGATAGCCGCGCGCTGAAGGAGCTGCCGTCGCTACCGTCTTCAGTTGCAGAGCCGCCGGGAGTGACGCCAAACAGCCGCGGCAGGAGCGAGCACCAGGGGTCGCCAACACCGTCCGAGCCGCCGCCGCCACAGTTGTTCGACCCGTGCACAGCATCGTCATTGCCGAAGGAGAGTGAAGCCGCTCTGCCCAGGGAATTTCCGATTGTGCAGATCTCATCGCCGCCAAAAAAAAGGAAAGGGTTTTTGGCTGGACCGAAGAAAAAAAGTTGGCAGTGGGCCAATTTGATTTTAATTGTTCAGCTACTTTTTTGGTCTTGGGTCTAGCTTGTGGTTTTCATTTGGACTGATTTATTTGGAGCGGTGGGCCTGATTTTCTGACGGAAAAAATACCAAGATCTGAAATTAGTTGTACCGGGTATCTCGTCTAGTCGTTTGAGATGGCAGAAGACGGGAAGTTCCGAATTGAAAAGTTCGATGGTACAGATTTCAGTTGGTGGAAGATGCAAATTGAAGATTTGCTAGTTCAGAAAGATTTGGATGTGGTTTTGGGTGACAAGCCAAAAAAAGATGTCGGATGCAGATTGGGCAGGTTTGGATCGGAAAGCTATGTCCGTGATCCGTCTCTCGTTGACCAAGAATGTTGTGTTCAACATTCTGAAGGAGAAGACAGCGAAGGAATTATGGACGCGCTGTCTAACATGTACGAGAAGCCTTCGGCAGCGAACAAAGTTTTTCTGATAAGAGAGCTGGTGAACACAAAAATGAAAGAAGGCACTTCTGTTACCGAGCATATCAATAAGCTGAATTCGATCTTAGCCAGACTTTTGTCGGTGGGCATTAAGTTCGATGATGAAGTTCAAGCTTTACTACTGCTATCGTCTTTACCTGATAGTTGGTCCGGAACGGTTACAGCAGTTACCGGTTCAGATTCGAGATCTCGTTCTTGGCGAGGATGTCAGAAGAAAGAGTTCAGGGGAGTCATCTGGTGAATTGCTTCATGTTGGTAGAGGCAGAAGATATATCAGAGGTAGTGGGAGCAGGAACAGACAAAGGAGTCAGTCGAAGACTCGTGACAGCTCAGGTGTAACGTGCTGGAAGTGCAAGGAGGTAGGGCATTTTAGGAATCAATGTCCGAATGATAAGAAAGTAAACATTGCTCAAGGCTCTGCGAGTGACGAGGAGGTCGCTCTGACTTGCTTTGAGGAAAGCAATGTGGATTCATGGGTCATGGATTCTGGTGCTTCATTTCATGCCACCCACAGCGGTGAAGCATTGCAGAATCTGGTTATTAGAGACTTTGGAAAGGTACGACTAGCGGACGACAGAGCTCTTGATGTGACGGGCATGGGTGACATAGTGCTGAAGACCCCAGTCGGTTTCTGGACTTTGAAGGATGTCAAAGTCGTTCCAGCCTTGAAGAAAAGTTTGATTTCTGTCAGGCAGTTGGACGAACAGGGACACGAGGTGAAGTTCAGAGATGGGCAGTAGAAGGTCGTGAAGGGAAATCTTGTCATGGCCCGTGGAAGGAAGAGAGGTTCGTTGTATATGGTCGAGTTACCATCTGAGGGAGTGACCGTCCCAGTTCAGAAGAAAAACGAAGTCCGGTTCACAAAGTCTCGTGGGTAGAATAAGGTTGTCTGTGCAAGAGAGAAACCTAAAGCCACTGGCCAGACTCAGGATGAACGAGCATGGAAAGGTTTAATGGGGCCAGTCATAGGTATTTGTGGCAGTGGGAGCTCAAGAGGCGCTTCAGCCAAGTTGCCTAGAAGACAGTGGGTCAGGAGAACCAGTATTCCAGCTGTTGGAACATCTCCAGAAAATTTCTTGCTGAGTATGGAGAGTGTTTGTTCTCAGGATGTTCCAAGATCCGGCAGTGTGCGTCTGCAGTGGGAACCGGTAGGGACCGAGGACGAGTCAGGGGCTGATTTTGCCGTGACTGATGTGTTGGAGCTTGGGAGAGCTTCAACGGGCCTTTCAGTGGTCTGATGATAGGGCCACTGCAACAGGAGAGCTGAGGAAGATTACTCGATGTACAGGCGATCGTGGCGGATGGCAGTTGATGTTTATCAAGCCTCCAAGTGGGAGAATGTTGGGCTTTGTGGAGGCTTGTTTGTCGGCCCGGCCCAGTTGTGCGTAGCCCTAGTTTTTCCCCTATATATAGAGGGCTTGTTCTTGCAATCTGTACCACAAGTGAAATAAAAAAATCCTCCTGTTGCAGCCGTGGATTAGGGAAACCGAACCACGTTAAATTCTTGTGTGTCGTTTGTGTTCCGTTTCTCTCGTTTCTCGCAGATTATTTGTGTGTGTTGTGTGTTTAATTCCCAACATAGTTGCCACCAGCCTTCTTGATCATCGAGAAGACTCTGTTGAAACTCTCCTGAGTTTCAACCCATCAGTCATGGCTTGAACTTCCCCTGACTCATCCTCGGTCCCTACCGGCTCCCACTGCACACATGCACTGCCGGATCCTGGAACATCCTAAGAACAAACAATCTCCATACTGAGCAACAAATTTTCTGGAGGTGTTTCAACAGCTGGAATACTGGTTCTCCGGACCCAATGTCTTATAGGAACCTTGGCTGAAGCAAAACCTGTGCTCCCACTGCCACAGATACCTCTGACTGGCCTCATTGAACCTTTCATCGCTCGTTCATCCTGAGTCTGACCTGTGGCTCTGGGTTTCTTTCTTGCATAGAAAACCTTCTTCTGCCCACGAGACTCTATGAACCGGACTTTGTTTCTCTTCTGAACTGGGACGGTCACTCCCTGAGACGATAACCCGACCATGTACAACGAACCACTCTTCCTTCCGCGGGCCATGACAAGATTTCCCTTCAAGACCTTCCACTGCCCGTTTCTGAACTTCACCTCGTGTCCCTGTTCGTCCAACTGCCTAACAGAAATCAAACTTTTCTTCAAGGCTGGAACCACTCTGACATCCTTCAAAGTCCAGAAACTGACTGGGGTCTTCAGCACTATGTCACCCATGCCCGTCACATCAAGAGCTTTGTCGTCTGCTAGTCGTACCTTTCCAAAGTCCCCAACAACTAGATTCTGCAATGCTTCACCGCTGTGGGTAGCATGAAATGAAGCACCAGAATCCATGACCCAGGAATCTACACTGCTCTCCGCACAACAGATAAACAAATCCTCGTCGTCCGCGGAGCCTCTAGCAATGTTCACTTCCTTATCCTCTTTCGGGCACTGATTCCTGAAATGCCCCACCTCCTTGCACTTCCAACATGTTACACCTGAGCTATCCCGTGTCTTCGATTGACTCCTTTGTCTGTTCTTACTCCCACTACCTCTGTTATTTCTTCTACCTTTGACGGTATTTAGTGATTCTTCCGAAGACTCGCCAGAACTCCTTCTTCTGACATCCTCGCCAAGAACGAGATCACGAATCTTCTCAAAAGTGAATCCGTCAGGTCCCGCTGAACTGGTAACTGCTGTAACAGTTCCAGACTAAGTGTCAAGCAATGACAATAACAGTAGTAAAGCTTGAACTTCATCATCGAACTTAATGCCCACTGACAAAAGTCTGGCTAAGATCGAATTCAACTTGTTGATATGCTCGGTAACTGAAGTGCCATTTTTCATCCTTGTGTTCACCAATTCTCTAATCAGAAACACTTTGTTTGCCGCAGATGGCTTCTCGTACATGTTAGACAGCGCTTCCATGATGCGTTTCGCTGTCGTCTCCTTCAGAATGTTGAATGCATCATTCTTGGTCAACGAGAGTCGGATCACGGACATTGCTTTCCGATCCAAACCTGCCCAATCTGCATTTGACATCTTTTCTGAACCAGCAAATCTTCAATTTGCATTCTCCACCAACTGAAATCTGTACCATCGAACTTCTCAATTCGGAACTTCCCATCTTCTGCCATCTCCAACGACAAGATGAGATACCCGATACAACTAATTTCAGATCTTGATATTTTTATCAGATAAGATATCTAGGACACAAAAAATTAACACCACCCACAAAAAAATTACACCACTATCACCAAAAATTCTACAATGGCCCCCACCTCTTTTTTTTCTTTCGGCCCAACACTTCAAAATCCACCCAAAAATTCCACAATGGCATTCCACTTTCTTTTGGCTACAGTGCAATTTTCTTGGCAATTGGGCAATGGAGACAGCAACACACGGCGCGCTTGGACGCTGGTCAGACGCGGCGGCTATTCCCCTGCGACGGCGACGGCTCCTCCACGCGGCGGCGGCTCCTTCTGCCACTGCTCCTGCGTGCGGCGGTCGGAAGGCAAACGGTGGCGGCGATCTGTACTGGACAGCGGCGGCTTGACGAGGGGAGGCTACGGCGGTTCGCGGATGACAGCGAACAACTTGCCCAAGCCTCTCACCTGCTTTTGAACCAGCGGCGGAGGGAGATCGACGGCGGCAGCGGTGACTTAGCGGCTACTCCTGCGTGGGTGACGGCGGCAGCGGCTCCTTCGCTTGCTGCGGTCCCCCTGGAACTAGCGACGGCGACACGATTCGGATGGCGGCGGTCTGGATCTGCCCGATTGAAGGGGGCAGCGGTGAGTCTCAAGGGACTCACTTCCTGCTGCGGCAGTGCTTCGTGGGGATCGTCGGGGATGGTGGTGCTCCGGCGGCAGCGACCCTCACTCCGGCTCCTGCTGCTGCACACAGTTCTTCTCCAAAAAACCCAGGTGACACTCCTCTGATTCCGATTAGTTTCTGCTGATCGGATTTCCGGTGTGTTAACAAACCAAAGCTCCGATACCACTTGTTGGGATAAACGCACGCGGAAACAACACACAATCACGAATCAACTGCAGAAAAATAAACGACACAGGATTTAACGTGGTTCGGCCGCCAACTGCAACCTACGTCCACACGGGGCAACTAGGAGGATTTTATTATTTGTTGTTGCACCACAATTACAAGCACATTAGCATCTCTTAAATAGAGATTAGTTAGGGAGACAATGATTAAGCCGTAACCTTCTAGGTAGCTTCCTGCCAATTTCCTATTAGCTTCCACCTAGCTTCGTGGCTTCACACTCAACACCAAAGTTTATGCTAAGTGTACATAAAAAAAAATAAAGATCCCATAAAAGGTGGGATGGATGTACCTTAATCAATGCTCTCATAATCAAATTGGTATGAAACTAATGTGCCACAGTATATTCATTGAACAATTAAACCCATAAAAAAACACATGCATACATTTGGCTCTACATCTCATGCATCATCTTGATATACTCTCTATATATGTTTCTCATTGTACGAACCCTATAAAAATCGTAGGCTCGGCTTGTTAGGGCTAGCAAAATTGACGAGAAAGAGACATCTGTGTACGTAACGACTGAGTTACAGAGAGAAGGGAATAGAGAATAATACGCATATACATACAGAATGGTGATAAGCGCGTTGAGGAAATTGGTGACAAGGGCGAGGAGTAAACTTGTGGAGAAGAAGAAGAAGAAAAGAAAGAGTTTGAAGAGAAATGAGTTGGCCTTCTTTGGTGCATACAATAAGATAGAGAAGAGCCAAAGCATGAGAATAATTGATGAGATGAAATCAGAGTCCAATTCAACAACATATATAGCCTTAAGTAATAACGCCACTCATATCTCACCCCCCAGTCCACAACCAGCCTAGCTATAAGTAGTTAATAAAAAGAATATTATATGATTTGTGTTAATTGGTTTCTCAATCATCTCCTTGATGTTATTATTCTATTATTATTATTATTATTATTATTATCATCATCATCATCATCATCATCATCATATCCCATAAAATCTATGCGGAGTTCTTTTTACCGTTTTAAATTGTCTTGAACTTTTTGTTTCATATACGATATCCTATATATATATATGTAAAATAGAGTTTAGTTGTTGTAGTGTTGACACGTGGCATGCCACATGTGCATCCACATATGCACCATTTATGAAGTGGATATATGCATTGCACCCATTTTAAATATTATATATATATGTAAGATAGAGTTTAGTTGTTGTAGTGTTGACATGTGGCATGCCACATGTGCATCCACATATGCACCATTTATGAAGTGGATATATGCATTGCACCCATTTTAAATATCTTTTAATACATTTGTATAAAAAATTTCATTTTTTAATAATTCTAAAAATATATAATTTCACCATTGTAAAATATATATTCCGTATTTTGAACACAACACACACACACGAAATTATTTTTATACTATCCACAACTTATTTTAGTTTATTACTTCTCAAAAAATGATTGTATAAATGTAATCACATGTGCATATTTATTAATTAAATACTTTGTTTCAAAAATTTTATCTTACTACATTATTTATTTTATTGCTACAATATAAAAAGTTGTTTCATTTATATTATTTCAACCAAATTAATTTCCCACTGTTGACTGTTCACTGTAATACTGTGTATATGTAAGAGATTACTACATAGTAATACGTACGTTGATTAGCACTTTTTATTATAACATTTTATTAATTCAAACCATTTCTATTAGTACTTAATTCAATGACCATTAATTTTGTATAATTTGTTTGTTTTTAAATTAACATACTAATATATATTCCATCAGTCTAAAACATATTTTGTCACTATTAGAAAACCAAAACAACTAAAATTTTATTTATAAAATCTCATAAGTTTAGAATATATACGAGCCCGTGCGAAGCACGGGGTAAACACTAGTGATACTGTATTTTGTAGTACTTTCTTTGTCCATTTGAATTGATAAAGTAATATAGTTATGCATGTCACCTCTTGTTTCGTAGAACTTTTGGTATTAATTTTAAATAAGTAATTTTTCTCTTTTAATTCCACGCCAATTCTCAAATAAATTATCTTCAAAATAGTCTGTGTCAAACATCATAAATTGAAACAGTCAATTTTTGGGAGAAAGACCAAACTAGGACTAAAACATTAAAAATATACCAAAATAGGACTTCCATGTTTTTATTCCCGAAATAGGACTTACATTACCAGGTATGGTCATATACATTACCAAAAAAATATAGTAATTTGCACATGTACACTGCCACATTACCACAGTGCAAAATCCTATTCCGGGAAAAAAAACATGAAAGACCGATGAAAAAATCAAAAGTAAAGATTTTTTTAGGGGGTGGGGTGAGAGTATACTCTATCTTCCCCATAATTGTGTAGAGTATATATTTTGAGATGACTCACTTTTTAATAGCTTTTAATTTATATGGTTTATTTTTATTTATTTATTTATTTTTTTTTTTTGAAAAAAGGCAGAAACTCAACCACATTTGTCTTTGAAAGAAGAATATTGGGACAAAATTTTGCAACGGAATACATTTTACCGGCTAACGAAAGTTATAGGAAATTTACATCCCGAAAATATAAATTGGCATAAATTTAACAACATTTTATATGATAAAATTTATTAATATGCTGTATAAATATGGAGTAATGTAACCAGTGAGGTGAATAACTAGTTTTTTTCGCGGGGTAGCAAAACGGGAGAAAAAAAGAGCATTAAAGGGGGAGAGGTGTGGAAGAAGAGAGAAAAGAATGCATGGTTCTTTCATAAAGTATTTTGCACTTTTTATTTAGTTATTTCAAAATAAACTTCACACTTCACTCTTTTCATTTTAAGGAAAAATAATATTCTCACGTTTCAATTTAAATCGCTTATTTACTATTCACATAGTTAAATTAATCACTTTATTTATTTTCACTACCCTCATTTGATAAAATAATACAATCATGTCACCTCTAATTTTGTAAGCCTAAGTTTTAAATATATGGATTTTTTTTAATTCCACACCCATTTTCAAATAAAATGTATTAAATATAATTCCATTCAAACCTCATAAATAACAAGCAATTTAAATTAGAAGGGAGTACATCATTCACAATATAATTCTTGCCAAACAAATTCTAACCAAACATTTTTCAGATTTTAGAATAAACTCAGGAATACACCAAAATGGAGTACCACATTTGTACACCAGACAAACACAGCCACTTAGTGTATGTGAGCGACAGACACTGAGTGTCTGTGTTTGTCTGTGTTTGCCTAGTGTACAAATGAGGTACCCCATTTTGGTGTACCCCAATTTTTAACGGGACAAAGAGAGCAAACTACAAGATCTTTGATAAGAAATAGTTACTGAGCCAAGCCTCTACTTTTTCCTTCTTTGAGTAAAAGGGTTTCTCTAGTGAGAACATTAACAATAGCAGACTAGCAGAGCTTACATGATGACAGCAATGTGTTCACAGTACAGGCAAATAATATTCCTACATAGCTCTATCAACAGGCTTCAGTTGTTTTCCCAGTTAAAGAGTTATGAGAGAACATATAAAGCAGTGGCTCAAAAAGCTCTAGTGTTACTCATTAAACTGAAAACCATATTGGAAGAGTACAAATGAGGCTTGAGAAGTTGATTAAATAGCTGTTCCAAAGGCGGAACTGTTGATGTTTCAGGCGATTCGCTCATCTATGCGCCCCTCGCAGTGCTCCATCGTACCCTGTTGCAATATTGCCAGACAGTGGTGCTGCTGACCCGTACACCATATTTCTTGAATGCCCAATTTGCCCTTGAGTTCCGACCCCGGCAATTGCCTCATGGCCAGCGGCTTCATAATTGGTTCCACCTGAATATTCATAGCCCGAGCCCGAACCGAGTGACCTATACGCATCATATCCAGGATACCCTGGCCCACCTCTCTGTGCATCATATGTAGCTCCAGTAGCCCCCCTCTGTAGATCGTACCCGGGCCCAGGCCTTCCTCTTTGCGGGTCGTAATTGAGCATTTTTGATGGGTCGTGAGCTTGTTTTGAAGAATTAGGTGGCCCAGCACGGGCTCCAAAGTTTGGAGAATTACTAGCAGGAGCCGCGACTCCACTGGCATTTCCCATGGTGGGAGGTGGGCCTCGTCCCTGCTTTAGAAAAGTGGTCGGTCAACAACATCCACATTGACTTCACGGCCAAATTCACAGAAAAGATTGGACTATTTTAAGACATGGAATCATAGTCTTTGTTTTTGGAACGTCGTATGTGATTAGCATTAGTATTTCGGATAATTTTTAATGGTACATATTAACTTTGGAAACACTATGGAGTACTTTTGAAGCCCATTTCCAAAATGCTGAAGTGAAACACTAAAGCTAATGCTAAACGGAGACATAGCCTAGGAACAAGGAACAACTGTAAAGAAGCTACTACATGCATGGAGAATGACAAAACATAGAGTAAAATTACGCAATAGGTTATTAAATAGGTAATTACTAACTACTACATATATCATTTTAAATACTTATCAACAGTTATCAACAGTAATTACTAACTACTACGTATATCATTTTAAATACTTAGGTTATTAAATAGGTAATTCCCTTTAAATACTTACGTTATTAAATAGGTAATTCCCTCCTTGTTTACTTAGTTGTTTCAACATGTCATGCCAGCAACTAACAAAATTCACGATCTCTTTAAGAGTTTACAGTATAAAAAAAGCACAATTTTTTACAAATAAGCAATAAAATATAAAATCCTCACTTTCGCGATCACCCAATAAAATGGCTTGATAAAAAGGAAGCAACACAAAGTATAGAAGAAGAGTTAAAAATCACCTGAGCAATGCCATAAGCATCTCCATATACATTTTGCGTAACTGGATAATTGTTTGTAGCATCACTTTCATTATGAACCGTAGAGTTACCATATGCCACACCTGCATTTGTATAATAACCCAAACTTAGATGATTCATAAATGGAAAGGCTACCACATGGCACATGCAATTTACTGAACAGTAACTACACGAACGAGTATATATTACTCCGTCCCAAAAAAAGTCATGTTTCAAGAACTTCTTTTATCAAAAACCATTAAGGTTTAAAAGTTGACTTTCATTTTTGAGTAAAATTCTCATAAAGCAGAGTAAGAAAAGGTTTCAACGACTCCGTACAATTTCAGATATAAGC